ATTGAGGTCAACAGGATAGTATACCCACCACCTCACCTGAGGGTGGCAATTCCTTGCCACCTCTGCTATGGCTTGAATGACAATGAGAATCCAAATTAGGGCTTTTGAGGACATACTTCTGCAATTGAAAATGTGCACCATTTTAATTCAAATACAAATGTTGAGGTGCTTTTGAGAAGGTACTTCCACAATTGAAAATGTACGAGAGAATATACTGAAACCATTTGAATTCATATAAAAATATTTAAAAAAAACAAAAGAATATGTATATGTATGCTTGATATTCTTCCTTGATCGTTCAAAAACAAAACAACATCCTTCAACCTCCAAATCCCAATATTCTACAATTACTCATTAGAGACATCCACTACTAATAGCCTAATAATATTAAATTTTGTTCAACTTCAATGTACAACTCTCATTGAGGTCAACAGGATACCCATCTGCTGTTGATATGCTGTCTGAACCTAGGGTGGCAGATACTCTCTTTTTCTGCAACAGTCAGAGTGACAATGAGAAGTCAATTAGGTGCCTTTGGGTAAGCATTTCTGTAAATTGAAAAGTTGAAAGGGGATATACTCACACCATTCTAATTCATACAAAAAAAGTTTGAAAAAAGTAACTAGAATTTTTGTTTACTACTAATGGATTGGGATCATTCTTAATCACACATCACTGTTTCCATCTCAAATATTCTAAAATTAACCATTACAGATAACTGTGAAGACCCAAATAACACCAATTTTTCCATCTTTAATGTACAACTCAGAATGTCAACAGGTTAGTATGCCTGCCACCTGACCCTCAAGTGCAGTTTCACTCTAACAGCCTGAATGCCAATGCCAATTCAAGTCTGTGATTTTGAGACAGTAGTTTCTTTGCAGTAAAAAATGTGCAAGGAAATACACTCAACATCATTGTTATTTATAAGTTTGAATGCATATCTATATCTTTGCTTCTTTGATTGCTTTGTTACAAAAAAGAGGAAGGTTCAATTTTAACAATGCAACATGTGCTCTAAACCTTACAGTGTTAACCTCTTTCTGAAAGAATACATTAAAAATGATGTTATGTAACATATTGTTAAATCACAAATTTCATGAAGCAACTGATTGATAAATGATAAGAAAATACGGCATATTTATATGCCAGACCATGCAGTTCACTGCAATAATCGCACTGTATTTCATTATTAAATATGATCTTTATGATATTAACCAAATGGTCAGAAAACATGGGGTAAGTGCAGTGAGTTGACATTGGCAAGTACATGTTTTATACAACATCCTCAACCTGGAAATAATAAATTCCCAAACAATATTTAAAATAGTGCCAGACACAAAGCCATCTTGTAAAGAGTTTATAAAAGAATTAGCAAAGCAATTTGCAGCTTCAGGAGAAAACAGAAGAGCCAATGGCTTACAGCCTGCTGCTCAGAGGGCCCCAGCTTCAAATTTGAAAAATGTTTCAGATTGGACTTTGCAAATGACAGCCAAAAAGATAAGACCTCTATTATAATTTTGCATCTACTTCAGACTTGTTAATGTGATTGGAAATCAACTGACCTGTGCTAATCACCACTCTGCAATATTTCTAATGCCTACCTGATTTCCACCATTGTTAGAAGTTGACACATTTTTACATATTATAACGTCTTGTCAGTCCAGCAATGTTTTCATTCACAGCCAGGACTTTCAAAGTTTGTTTTCCATTATATTCAGTCATCAAGAGCATAGGATATCATCACATGAACAACAAATAATATTTGCTTGGTCTTTCACAAATTGCCACCCATTAGGGCTTAAATATACTTCGAAATAATAACAAAACAAATTCCGATAACAAAAAATGATGTTTTCCTAATTTTGTAATATGAGACTGGGCAGTACGTCCTAAGAATAATAACATTAACTATGATTACAATAAGCAGTGTCCAGTTATTACTTAATTAATAAAAATAATATTTAATGTACATTCATACTGTTAAAGTAAGTATAAAATTGATATAGATCAAAATAAAAAATTATGAACCAATTAACCCAGAGCCTGCTTCGCAAGTTGTTTTTTTTTCCCATCCTATATCACGGTTAACGACACGATTTTATAATGAATCAAAATTACAAAAAGCTGAAAACACTAAAATGAAAAACTTATTATTGTAGTAAAAACAATTTTTAAATATGAATTAATTTTCTATAATTACAGCTTGGAAATGAAGCATTTCAGCATATAAGAATAGCAGCATATTTCATATAAAGGTTTGTTAGCAAACATTCTGGAGTACATGTTCCTGACCGAGAACGAGACAAAAGATAAAATAATACAAAAATTTAAACATCTGCATGTGCGCCTTCTCCAATCCCAATTAAAATGGCACCACGCTACCACGTGGACTCAAGCAAATTGTCAAATAGTTTGGTGAAAACCAATGTAACAAAATTTTTGAAAAGTTTAAATTGTTAGAAATGATTAATATGTTTCAATTCATTAATAAATATACAGTTGGACAAATCTAACAGATCCTTCAATAATATTCAATACATAGAAATAATTATGAAATTTTGGAAAATGTTATTCAAACAAAAAATTATATAAAATGGAAAATTTAAACATAAAATAATTAACAAATATTTTACCACAAATTTATGAATAGAAACATGTACTTATAATATAGCTTTTATGTAACATTACTGGTTTTCCATTTCATCATTTTGTACATTCTTGACACGATTGACCTTTACACTTCAGCAAACGCATTCTCAAGACTGTTCTGAAAAAGTTCCCATGAAAGTTCAATATAGTTCTCAATAGAAGGAAAGTTACCTTCCTGAGAAAACTGGATTTTTTTAATTCTATTAACATCCAGAAGGAAGTTATATATTCCCCAGTAGTAATACTCTCCTATTCGTACATTTTCAAATGAATTTCACAGAAAAAAATAGTCAAGTCAGAAACGGAGTTTAATATATACAAATAATTTTTGTTATATTGAAATTTTTTAAATGGAATTCAAGAAACAAAAAGATTACTTGATTTGTTGAGAATTTCAATATATGGCAGACCAATTGTATGATCGATAAATATGGTTTTCTTACAGAAACAATGTAAATTTTTGTTAGGCTCTCTCCTGTCACAAAAAAATTATATTTCATACATGCTGCATTTTGCTTACATTATGAAATTTACACAAAGGGGTTTTCACAAATACATCACTATGAAAGTTAAGAACGTGATATCATAAACAAGCCTTAATTTCATGCTTCAAATCACAATTAATAACGAGCATTAGCATTTGCTACTACTAGAGGAAAACATTTAAAATCTATGACAATATCTTTACTAAGTATAAACAATTTTTGCATTTTCATGGTTTACCCCCCCAAAAAAATAAAATAATTATTGTACACAATCAATCAGGTTAAGAAGAGAATTTTTGGATATTTCCTAGAAAACTGTCATAACCTCTGATGACGCATTACATTTCTTGCATATACGTCTCTCAAAACTGAATCCTGTTTTTAGCAACTAGTATTTGAGTCTTCATATTATTACACCAGTTGTATAGAATAAAAATGAACTGGCTGTGGTGTTCCTTTCTTCACAATTTACAGTAGTGTTTATAATTTTAACATTGAAACTTAATTTGATCCCATGCAGATAAATACAGCATGTTGTTAAGCAGCCACCAAGGTGATGACCTGCATTTTATACAGATTTAAGTCAAGGGAGTAATAACCACACTACACAGTCTACAACCTAACCTGCACCGTAATATTCGAAGAAATGGGGAACTAAAAACTATAACAAGCACATGCAGGACCACTTCCGTAATACTCCCAAGAAACCATAATCCAATAGCAAAAATTGTTAACCTTTCAAGATGTGGGACACATTTTTTTAGCAACGCTACATTCTGTATGACTTGTTCAAATCTTTAGGGTCACTAACAAATCAAATCCTCCTGAACTTACCTTTTAAAAGAACAATTGAGTCATGTACAGATAGGACTAAAACATTTTCTTTAAATTCAACAAGTGATATAAATATTTTTTATGCAATCAACTGCATAATACTAACAAAAAGGGAGTTCCTCAGATCAATACAGCAAGTGACAAATTATTTAAAAATTTTACTCTGTAAAACAGAAACAATTCGGCAAATACAAAACCCTCCGTATGCCTTCAAAAAATTTACCATACAGAGGAACAATCATTTGAAAAATTGCAATTCTCTAATGAAGTATCTAAATGCAGATTTTCACCTACAAAATTTTAGTATACGAAGAGTAATCTATTTTCGAGCCCAACAATTAGTGGTGCTACAAAACAGCACCCTTTCTTGAACTGGTTAATTTATAATTGCTTTAGGCTCGCTTTTCAATCTTGTCCCATTCTCTTGCCAGCTGCTCAGTATCAACACTCAAAATATACTTTTTTGAAATTTTCTCAACTTTTTGGTTTCCTAACGGCAGAATCTAAATATTCCTATAAGAATATTATAGAACAGTAAAGCCATGTCAAACATCAAAAACTTGTGCTGTTTTTAAGAAAATGGCATTTACTTGTAACTGCAAACGAAAAATTTGAAGCTTTCACAAATCTGAGTTTTGGATTAACCTCTGATGTAATTTGAAGAGCTTCCACACAAAAGCAATATGTATACAAATCACTGTGCACACACAAAATAACAGCACAAGAGATTTAAAAAAATAATAACTTTTCAAAAAACAATACAGCACAATTACTTTTCTTAAACAGTGGCATTAGCACTATCCATTCCAAATGTTAGAAGAAACATCTTGAAGCCATTTTCAAGGAAATTGCATTTGAGAGCATCTGAAACTGCGAAAAATTGAGCTCAATGTCACAGACAAGTTTGAGAAACTTAAGACAACATTCAAAGTAATTGTATTAAAATGTGATGTGAATAAATCACTAATGCGAGTAGTCAAAAAAATTATTTTGTATTTATTAAAAAAATCAATACAGCAAAATGTTAGTGTGCAGTTCATTCAGCCCCTACCAAAGCCAAAAGAAAACATTTGGAGCCAAATTTGAGATTTCTGGTATGTTTTAATATTACATGTTAACTATAAAAATTGGAAGAAATGAAATTTGAAAAGAAAAATAAAAAATGCAAACAACCTTACTGCGACACTTTTCGGTTTAACAAACTTTTACTATAACTTTTTTTGGTTTAACAGTCTTGCTTTCATCATGCAATGTGATGTGAATTTGATTGTGCATTAGTTAGGGCCAATGTAGTCCACACTACAGCAGCCTCCCGGCCATACTACTCCAAAACATTGGATATTCAGCATAACTCTCAGTGAAGTTTAGGAATAAAGTAAGAAAATTGCATTGAAGGGTTAATGAAAAATACAAGATCACTTTAAGAGATGTGAAACTTTATTTAATGCAATATTATCATTTCACATGCATTTTTTAAAAAAAGAATTACAGTAGAATGCATTTTGCAGTCTTCCAGGGAGAGCAAAGTAGCAGTGTCATGAACAAGAATTGATGTACTATCAGCTGTTTGTTTCTTCCTAAACATCAACCTAATTTCATGTGCACATTCCACAGCCTACATTAACTACATAAATGCATAGAGAAACTGCACTTCCTTATGTCTTTGTAGATCGGAGTGTTTTCGGAAATGCTCTTTTCCAATAGATTCTTTTTCGTAAACACAACACAAAATGTGTGGATTTACCACCAAGAGAAAAAACTCTAGTGGGAAAGATGCTTTCTGGTACCACACACTTTTGCAGTGAAGACTAGTCTTCAACTGTGATCTCCAAAGAGACAGGCTTTGCTCTCCCAAGATATATCCCTATAAATTAATCTCCATCGGATTGACCGAAATGAGCTTAATGGGAACACTGGAGGCCTTATTTGCACTGAGGATAATTCACTAACAAATCATTATATATATATATACACTCACACATACAGACTTCTTAAAATTGCAAACATAATAACATAATTCAAAGTGGATCAAACATAAACTTTGTCATACCAGTAAATTAAAAAAAAAATTGAGAAATCATCCTGCAATCAGAAGTGCATAATAAGGCCTATGGAGTTAAGCTAGGTTCAGAATACCTATGTTTCACAAAAGACTTCGTCTCCTGCATCATCTACATCACACACGCACAAATAGGTTACAACACTTATATGACCTTATATACACACACATTTTAACATTAAAACAAGGAAGGAGATAGCAGTTATCTGAAAAAAGATGTAATGGAATTGTAAAACTTCGTTTTACGTGTTCCCATATGTTATCATTCTATCAGAGTTTTGGGCTTTTCCCATGGGAAGATGTCACGACCAAAATGTCCATAAGTACTGGTCTGCTGATAAATTGGGTGTCTGAGATTCAGCTCTCTGCAATATGAAATCCACATTAAAGAAACATAATTCTAAATACATGCCAATCTATTGTAAGAAATAAAAGAGAATCAGAATGAAATGTCTATCACTATCTTCAAAAGTAGCTGGAAATTAACATCATGTTTAACAAAAAATTAACAGAGCCAATAGACAGCTACTTACTTTACTATCTTTCCTGGCCTAAGATCAAAATTCTTCTTTACAATTTCCAGTAATTCTCTTTGGGATTTCTTTGATGTTCCATAATCAAAAACTGTAATGGACAATGGTTCAGCCACTCCAATGGCATAAGAAACCTACACAAATTATCACCAAAGTTATTGTTTATTCAATAAAATTTCACATAAATTGAAATCTAAAATTATCATCAGAACAATATTTTTTTGAAGTCAGTGGACCGTCAGGAGTAGCAAATACAAGTAACATCAGGTGAAATATAATTACAGAAAGCCCAATATCTAAGTGACTATTCAAAGCTAATTTACCTGTACAAGGCATCGTCTGCATAATCCAGCTTTGACGAGCGACTTTGCCACCCATCTAGCAGCATATGCTGCTGATCTATCAACCTTTGTGAAATCTTTGCCAGAGAAAGCACCACCTCCATGTGCACCCCATCCTCCGTATGTGTCCACAATAATTTTTCGACCAGTCAGACCAGCATCACTCTGAAACATTGAACTTAAGGTCAGTGTGCTGTGAAATAAAAACAACCTTTCTCTAGTGTTTGAGTGTATCAGAATAATATTTTTTTCTCAGCAAACCGTCAGGAGTAGCAAATACAGGTAACATCATATGCATTATAACCGTAGATATCACAGAATTATCATAAGCACATTTATTACACAAGTGTACACACCTGAGGTCCTCCAACTACAAAGAGACCACAAGGATTAATGTGGAAAACTGTTTTATCATCCAAATATTTCTCTGGAATGACTACCCGAACAACTTTTGTCATTATCTCTGCACGAAGATCGGTTAAACTAATTTTCTCAGAATGTTGGACAGAAACTACCACAGTGTGCACTCTCTGCGGAATACATGCTCCCTGTGACATGTAATACTCGCATGTAACCTGTTGAAGAAAGTGGAAATTTAGACCAAGTTTTAACTTTCTGAAAATGTTTTATATATATCTCTATCCAAAAATAATGTACAGTAAATAAAGTTATTGTAATAATTCATACCTGGGTCTTTGAATCAGGTCGAGCCCACCAGAATTCTCCACTTCTCCTCAAATCTGCAATTCTTTGATTTAATCTATGTGCCAAGACAACTGTCAGAGGCATACATTCTTCAGTTTCATCAGTTGCATAACCAAACATCAAACCCTATACAAAGAAATACATTAACAAATTTTACACAAACAATACAATTGTATAAAAATTGTTAAAAGAAAGAAACCAAGCCAATACATGCAACATGCACCAAAATGTTAAATATTTTGATTTAAAATATGCCAAAGAATTACTATAATAATGAAATGCAGCAACCACAAATTGGTTGTAAAAATTATGTAACACTTCAAATCGAGGTTAAATGGTACTGTACACCATTACCTCACCCATTTAAACTGCTTCTAGTTTTCTTCTCTTTGATTGCATGATCTACTTGTTACAAGACAGGAAGGGTATATTACTACAGAAACCGAAAGAAGTTCACTACATTAGCCTTGAAAGAAAGAAAAAAAATTACAAAAAGAATATGGTATACTCCATTTTCAGCCCTGCCCTGTCCTTTTGTGCATGCTCATTGATTTCCAATTTAACAAACAATTTATTTTACATTTTAACACTCTTCAAAACTTTTAAACCGAAGTATAGTGTACAGTAAATCAGAAGAGGTAATCAAATTTTTCAGCATTCTTTCAATACCTAATTAAGACTCCATTTATTTTCAATTAAATTATGCAAATAATGCTTCAAACACCACAGAGATTACTGCTTTGTGATCAACAAATGTACTCAGGAGTATACCATATACACTTTTGATCTTTTATGAAGAAAAAAAATCAGCAAATCAAACGCAGAATCACCTGGTCCCCTGCCCCAACATCATCATCGCTGCGGTTCAAATGCACCCCTGCTGCAATATTGGGTGATTGTTGATCCAGAGCAAGCAGGATGTTGCAAATCTTGTAATCAAACCCTACAGAATGCAAGAAAATGCCGCCTTCTAAGTACACTTCATGGCAACATGGTCCAAGCAACATATGAACCTTTCGTGCCACTGACAATAGTTTTGTTAATTACTTTCTCAATTATCCAACACTAGTAAAACAATATTCCCAATTAAACTTTTTCCAATTTCATGCTCGCTTTAACCATTTGTTATCCCGTGCTTAACTCTTATCATGCAAAATATTCATTGTCCAAAACGTTTTACATTCAGTTTGTATAAGTAATGAAATTACTCAACCCTATGACACCCTGAATGTACATGCTTCCCGGTGACATTCAATGCATCCTCCAGAAACTTGTTTGTACCTGATCCCCAGCACCTATGTCCAGTTCTTCCCTGTTTTGGTAAACACCTTCTGCAATGTTTGGAGATTGTTGCTCAACCGCCACAAGAAGATTAAGAGTGGTGAAGTCAAAGCCTAAGATGAGCAGTGAAGGCAAATAAGCACCTTACTTATTCGAAACCAATTTGTCCAATTTCAACTTAACATCTTCAGTAGTAACATTAAAACAAGATTTGTGTTGACAAACAATTGACAAAGACGCATATTATGATTTCACATGTCTTGTCATGGCACATTTGTTTTCCCCCAAAAGTTATCTGCAAGAAATTATTACCTAATGTGCACTTTTAAGACTAGGCACATACAGGAACCCTATCACCAAGGGAATGTAAATTTAATAAAAGTAAACTAAGTAATGAAACTTACCCTTTGATGAATCATCATAACCAATGTGCTTTACAGTATCACGGACCACTTTCTGGTAATCCACGTGCGCTTTTGATGTGATTTCTCCGCATATCAAAATCATACCAGTTTTCGTAACAGTTTCTGTAAAATTATGAACATTTCAAAATTCTTGTTTATCACAAAGTGGGATGTCACATTTAGCGAACTTTAAGAATCATACAAATTTTGTTACAACAAAAAATCTCACCGCAAGCCACTTTGGCGTCAGGATCTTGGCGAAGATGGGCATCCAAAATTGCATCACTTATTTGATCGCACATTTTATCTGCAGACAAAAAAAAAGTAAGTGAAACAATACATAGCGGATTTAAACGTTCACCTCCAACCAATAAAGGTAGTTGGCGTCCCAACCATTACGAATACACACTGTTGCATCACACCAACCTCGTGCTGGCGATGCCGGGTTCGAACATTTTCAAATACATAGAATTATGGCCACACATTGTAATAATTGATCATTCAATCAATCCATTTCAGAAAATGTTACATAACTTTAGCAACAAGGTGTACTACACTTCAAACCATTAACCGTGCCGCCACAACGTGCACATGGTTGCGCGCGCCATTTCTGTGCATCTAACGATCAACGCTTAGATTTCATGAAGGCATTTTACTAACCTGGATGCCCTTCTCCAACTGATTCTGATGTGAAGAGAAATGTATCCTCCGTAAGTTCTGGTTCCATGTGTCCATTTTCATGGAAACCGTTGATATAAGGTGCTGAAGTCTCGGGCATTCTGAACCTATGTCCTAACTCACTTACTGCGTCGGTAGCTACTATGGAAAAGAGGTCCCTGCCAGGTTCCGCAGCTGTATTTATAACTTCTGGTGTGTCACGTGACCCGTCGCGCCGAGATTCCGACTCTTCTGGAGCTCTGTTCAAAAGAAGGAAAAGCTTTAGAACTAAGAAAGCATCATGCTGAAGTACATTTTAATATTAATAAAATTACTATCCATTCTAATGCAATGTTACAGCACCTTTTACAGCATGGAAAGCAAATAAATAATATCAACATTATATCATCCGGAATACTTTAAACACTTCAAGCAACGTATAAGAATAATAATAGTACGCTACAAAAGCTTAAAAATAAATGTTTCTCTCGAACCTTTGTTTGAGTACTTTTATTACTCAAGTTCAAGGTCGTAATTGGAATTTTATAATATTATGGCTTTTTCACTTTTCCGTAGTTTATTATTAATTCAATTTTGGATCAATTGTTTCAAATTGAAGAACATGAAGAGTTGAACCCGCGTTAAGTTCCATTATTTTGACATTCAAACAAATGTAGTTCTGGTAATTCTCGGTCAAGAGAACGTTCAATTTATACGAATAAAACTTTACACTTTCCCGATTCACAATACATTTCAATATCCTTACATAAAATACGTGAAAGGGAAAGTCAACCAAGATAGGGAAAGAGGTGTTAAACGGGAATGAACGTTCTTGCTATCAGCAACTACAATTCAGTTTTGTCAAGAGATCACGGACGCTCGCCAGGTGCTCGCATCTAGACCACGACCACGTTGTTATATTTTTATCACACGCTGGCCCAATACTTCTCCTCGCAGCTCATTACAATGACAGAAAAGGCGCTCTTTTTAAGAATTTTTCAAGGGAATTTAACGCCATTAATTCAATGGCTCCATTACTTGTAAACTGACTGCGAATACAATCAATTGCAAATTGAATCAGCACACACAATTTTGAAGGCTGCCGTTTCAGGGCAGTGACAGATTTATACATATAATATATAAGTTTCGAATTATTTCTTTAAATGCGGTATTGTCCATAACAGTGGCCGTCTAGTCCTTTTACAAGGGTCGAATTTAAACATTACTATTATAGCAATAAAACTGGCAAAAATTTATAAAAATGTATAGGCAAAATTTTAAAAATTAGCTTATACTTTATGATTACTTTTGTGCGAAATATATGGAAAGATTTTGTCAGTACGATAATGCGATCGACGCATGAAATGCTTGTACGAAAGATTGGCGTTCACCTCCCTAAGATGAATCGATTTTTCAGCAGATGACAGCACTGAATTCGCTTCAATGACAGGCTACACTTATCTGCAAACACTCTGCAAACAAAACCTCGCAACGCCTTCGGAGTCGTCAAAAACCCACGTTGCATAGTGATGATGGGAGACATCCCTGAGTAATGAGAGGTACTCACTGGCGGTAGGAGAGGACGGGTCTGCCTCTGTACGCAAGTCTCTTCTCAGCCAGTCGCTATCGTCGTCAGCGTTCACGCACGCGCCGTTCGGAATGCGCAAATGTTCAGCGGAGATGAGCGGGAAGCTTCGCGCTGAGCACGGAGTACTGACTGAGAGCCTCTCGCAGTCCGGGCGCGAGTATTATACGCTTGTGAGGAGAAGCCCTCGGGAGCATCGGAGGGGGCACGCCCGAAGTCGAGAGGACGCGAAGAGTTGACGCTGAGTGACGTAACCAGCGATCCACGCTTAAACCGCGTGTGGGGCGGGCGGCGTCCGATCCCTGGGGGAGGCCCGCACCCCCCGCCGCCCCCTTCACCCGGGCAAGGTTCGTACATTTGTAAATCGGAAATATCGGTCTGCGAGATGCGTTAGAAAACCGCTGAGTAATGCTTACTTGCATTAATTAATGGCGACTTTAGGCGCTTCGATCGGCTCAATTAGTTGCAGGGTGCGTTGGGGATAAGATATATTTTTGCACAATGTTTCGTTGAAACAAGAGTTGGAGGAGGGATGTTCTCAGATGAATGCAGCCGGAGACCAAGTGCAGGTCACCCTGCTGATGGTACTCGTCGCAGGCGATTAGAAATGGAATTTTCGGAAAACCATACACATGAACATGAGGTTTTTAAAGTTTCAAGCAAAAGAGCACATATTTAGTGAATTTTGTAAAATTTCTGTTGTGAAATGAAGGCTAACAACATAAACTCACAAAAGAAAAATGTAATATAACGTTATTGTGTAATTGTGTTCACTTCTTGCTGGTGATCTACTTTTCTCTTCCAAAACAAAAGCTGCAGTTCTATTAACAAGATTTTAAGGTTAGTATAAGCACAATACTCTTCTTGCAAATGTTTGTTACCTAGTGCCGTTCCTACGAATCATCTTCATAGATTCACTATCAGAGTCATAAAAACATTTTACACCCTAACCATGGTATTTTGTCTCGAACTGCAAACATTCAACGAAAGTTTGATTAGAGGACTTCAAATAAAATTCAAGCATGCTCTCATAAAATTAGGGCATTATTATCAGATGTATTTACATTGCAACAAAATTTTGGGCAGTTTTTTCTAATATATAAAGAAGAGACGATAGCTTCATCATCAACTTTTTAAAGCTTGGACAACATAAATGAAAATTACAACATAATGCGACTTGTTTTCATGCTAACAGCTTCAAATCAGATTTGCATTTTCATATAAAAAATGTATTTTAAAATAAATAGCAGAAAATGACATCGTTAAAACATAATTCTCTCTCATAACATCGTTTCATGAGAAATTACATGCATGACAATGAATGATCTGAATGACAAACTGAATTGCCCGTAATTACACCATCAAGTATACAATTATGATACGACACATCACATTTAAATGCAATAAATTATATGCAAACAAGTAATACGATTGACAAGCAAGCAATAAGTCTGTCTGTTCATGTGCATAAACCAGGCGGTTAGAAATTTGAGGTTAGAGTTGAAAACAATGTTTAGGACGTTATGAAAAGCATGCGCAGTTTTCAAGTTTGACATGCTTCTATCTTCTAATTAAATAACTTACCGATTTCGTGGGAAAAGAGGCATTACTTGAAAGTAACAATAATCTATTTTAACGACCACTCTTTCCACAACTAAGTGCTAAAATATGCTGGTTGGAGTATTGATCTCTCCGCCGCTCGATGCTCGCTTACTTCGGTTCATAGATGGCACTCGCTGGGCACCTACAGGTGGACTCATTTCTTCCATCGTTCTGCATTGCGAATGGCTTCATGCACCAAGAATGAGGCGTTTTTCCATCAGTAATATTTGTTAGGTCGAATAGAGTGTTATTTCTGAAAGAAGGCTGCAATTGCATAGTCCTTCCCTTGTGACCTAAATCGTGGATTCCAAAGCCGTTCTTGATGTATCAAGAAGAAAATAAACTTCTTTCTCACAAGAATGTATAGTTACTAGTTGTTTATTCTGTATATAGTTCAAATGAATATTCTTATGTTGCTTTCAAAGATATGTATTTCCCAAAACCGAGTATATTCAGTAAAAAAAGCTATACCATTCAGCGCTTCTGACCGACAAAAAACAATGAAAAATTCGATGACAAAAAATTGGCCTGTAAAAATACGCGCTGCTTTGTCATAATCGCGAAGATTGCAAGCAACAATCGACATGACGAGAGACTTTTGCTCAATATCGAAGTTGTACTTGTAGGTCGTTGGACTCCGCGCCATAACGCAAAAAGTTGCAGAATATCTTAATGACCTCCAGAGGTTACTAGATATCGTCGAGGGGAAAGAGAAGAGAGTTTCAAAAGCGTTATTGCGTAAGACATAATTTTGATGAGGATCGCTCCGACATTTTTTTATGTGTGCCTGTAATATGAAGGGGTGTCGCTAAACAAATAATAATAATAATAATAATAATAATAATAATAATAATAATAATAATAATAATAATAATAAATAATCATAGCAGGACTCATGCGAAAAATTCGCACTTTGTAAATTATATTTGTTTTAAAAATGAAAATTATTTCGTTATAAAAATCAACTAAACGGCCAGCCCCGGAACTGTGCGATACAAGCAATACAGGTCTGGTACTGTGCAAGGAAAACCATTCTAATATTGCTAAGCGTTGAAATTAAATTGTAAAGAAAACCAAATTATCCATTAAATTTTATTGTGAAGATTTACTTATTTGTCTTTTCCCTTCATTTTAATTTTACATTACCTATTTCGGGTTTCTGACGTTTCTAACAACTCCTAGCATGGGGACACTTGTTGTGGGGGTACCCAAAAGAACTCCAAAAATGTAATCGGAAGTTAAAAATGATATAATTTTCAGGAATACTGATTTAGAAACATAATTCACTTCCCACCTGCCCCCTTCAGTTTCCCCACCAGTCCCCATCTATCCTCCACACGTTTGTTACCCGTTCCTCAAGCATCGTGTTCCCACAGAACTTATCCGCTCAATCAAACTTTTTCCCCACATGTTTCCCGCATGTACCTCCTATGTTCTTCGCATATGTTCCTCCTCATTTTACCTCCAGATGTTATTGCTCGTTTCAGCTAGGCCGTAAGTGATCAATGTAAGTTGAATTTAAGAGTAAATATAATTTTCCTCACCTGCCCTCCACATGTTCACGCACATGTTAATTTGGAAATGAAATTGCAAAATCAAAGTTTCAATTTAGGCGGTTTATTTATTAAGAAATATTTTTATAAACATTACGGGTTCGGATAGTGCATTGGCTTCCCTGGTAGATGAAACGGAAAGCCTCTGAATAGCCCGAGAACCCAGATGAGCGTAAACTCCAAAAAACGTAAAAGAAAGGTCTCAAAGATTTTCGCAAGACATTGCAATCTCCAAAAACGCCTCCTTTTAAACCATTGTTTTAAATGTGAAAATAGCTTTGCACCAGATACCTTCCAGTACTTCTGGCAATCGTGATACTAGCTGAGTCTCTCTGCCAAAAACTAATAGAACGTCCAAATAAGTTTCGTTGTGTATATTCATGTATAAAAGAACTTAATTCGTGTAGGGAAATAAAAATGCAATGTTAATGTAACAGAACTCATAGTTAGCGAGTTATGGACGATGGTAAATCGTTGCAGTAAATGTGTGTTGCAGGTTGCTTTTGCGTCCGATTTGTCAAATATTCCATACCCTGCTAATTTCTTTGTTTATTTTCATAGGGGAAAATAAATTCCATAGATATTGAGGTGTTAATAGGTTGTTATAATTTGAAGAGTTAACATGTAGTTAATGAATGTTAATATCTCAATATTTAAATCACTAAGATTTTGGGTCAGAAAGAAGTTTGAGCATTCGACTCAACCAAATTTCGTGTTTTCTTTCTTTAAATGAAAGGTACTGGGCCCTGACGTGTTATCACTTGTTATTATATGATTTAAATTTTAATCACTAAATTATTAAAAATATCTTAAAATTAAGAGAATGAATGTGCTGACATTTTTGTTCACATGCCATTTTGCTATGCGAGTTGTAATCGATCTATCAAACACAGACGTCCTTTCGTCTGGTGCGAGCAAAAGTTCGAGATTATAGTTAACGAAGCGAAGATAGCGAGTTTTGTATGTTAAAATATTAATGAGCATTTTAAATACAAAGATTAGCGAGTGTATACAAACGGAAAGTCCAGCATTTGTCTGAGACGTGTCTTTGTAAAAAATGTTGAGTGATTATGTCATGCATAACGCTTTTAAGCGTAGTATTTGCGTAGCAAACATTTTGAAGAGAGTTGCTTCCCTTCTACTGTGACGTCGTGGGAAGGGATATATACCACAAGAACTGACACGAGTAAGTTGTATAGAGTTCAATTATTAACAATATACAGGTTCTCACTCCGAGACGTTTGTTGGAGCCCACTTCAGCCCCCGGGTACCTATAGCGGGTACCCGGTAGCGAGCTTCGTGGGTAAAACAAGTGAAGCATTGGTTCATTCTAAATTTCTTCTCTTACAAGTAAATGAATTATACTTCCACATTTATTTAAATTCCCCCCAGAAAATAAATTAAAACAAAATACTTTGTGTAAAAGTATGGAATTTAGATTATATTAATATTGCAATATTTTACCTGAGAGTGCTAGAATGGTTCTCGCTGAAATACAGCAGCGAAGTGAATCAATTAAGAGCTGTGCGTATTTTGATTCCCCTGTTTAGGGAGTTGTCATGACAAAGATGCGTGGACTAGAGAACACACACTAGATCATGATTGTGAATGAAGATACATTGTTACATTAATAATTATGTCAGGTTGTCAGACTGTTACTTAAGGTTTTGGATAGTTCGGACGAATATCACTAAAGACGTTGTGGGAAAGAAGTGAATTCATTTAATTTCAATGTAATGATTTAATCGGTTAATGTAAATATGTGCGTTTACTTTTTTCATTTTATTTTATTTTTCCTCCTTCCTAGCGCATTTTCCAGCTTCGGGGGATGTCGATTTTGACTATCCGCACCGGATACCCACTATGTCCCCCATGGGGACACACATTAACCTTTTCACACTGGACACTGAAACACTTGCGGGCTCCTTGGTCTTCCGCCACAACACACATACATGAAAGACAAGGTACAACAAACATGCTCATGGCAGGACTCGAACCCGCGGCCCTTGAGACCGAATGAAATGGCATGACATGATATTAAATTTAAAAATCTATAATTATCAATATAATTGCTTGTGCGGTAGCCAACATTAAAAAAAAATTGACAAGTTTACCTGTTAGTAAGAAATTGGGGGTGGGAAATACGATTGTGATGGGATGTGGAGGCATGGAATATGATCAAGAAATATTTACACATCTCATTTCACTAATAGTAGGTTTTAGTTCTAATCAGTTCTTTTTTCAATCTCGTTCACATCCACATAGTTTCATTTTTCGTAGAAGCCGATACGGAGGTACGACATGCTTAACAAGTTATTGAGATCATGTCAATGTTAGATACTGACATCCGACAGTTCTATTACTATTTTCACTTATAACTAATCTAACCACAAGAAAATATCCGTAAACATATTAATAATTTCTTTCCTCTGTTTTACAGAAATATTAACGACTGCCTTCATAGGCTATTTCATATTTTAAATACACAATATCGAATGTATTATAGCTATCAGCCAAGTTTTTTCCTTGGTTCTTGTTCAGTTCATCAGCTAAGAAAACTGTCAACTGTTTAAATTCTTAGATAAAAATTTCGTGTCGCTTTAGGACATTGACATACTTTGCGATTGTTGACATATTTTATCTGGAATGCCAATGTATGTAACTTGTTTATATCTTTCATCATGCTCTCAAAATGAATACGTGAAATTAGGAGACAGAATCATGGAAAGGGATTATTGAAAGAATAACAAAGGCACACAAAAAAAGTCAGACCCAAAGACTAGACACATGTTTCTCTATGTATGTTGACGCGCTGAATCCAAATCTGAAGTCAGAACGGTGTCACCACCTACCTTTTTTAAAAATAAAATCGCGGGAAAACACCGTGACATTGTATTTTTTGTTTTCTTTTTGTTTTCAGGGGTTGTTGTCAGACCCAAAGACTTCACACATGTGTCTCTATGACGCGCTGAATCTGAATCTGAAGCCATAATTCCGGCAACCCCCTCCAGTTTCTTTTACCGCTTCCGTTCGTCTGTTCGCCTGTGAACAACGCTAGCGGCTAAACCGTTCAGCCGATTTTCTCCAAAATTGATATTCTCAAATCGATCTATATGATGTCGCGACTTCATGAATTTGAAACCGATATTTCAATTTTGGAGGGTACTTTACATATAGCCCGTGGATAATTTTCCAAATTAAAAAAAAAAAAATCATTGATTTTGATTAAATTTTGTTGTTGGATAGTGTGAAGGCCGTTTAAGAGAATGTAGCTCTCATGTTTGTTAAAAACCCTGATTTTTCGAAAATTGAAGTTTTTTTTTCAGAATCTTCCTACAACTGAAATACTAAAGATAGACATTTTCCCTTAATGGAATCTGGTCCTTAAAGATAGATTTTGTAGATCATGTACAATTTTTCGTAAATTCAATTACTTTTCGCGTAACAATAAA